AACTTTCAATATTGCGTAAAACTTGACAGCCATTCGATTTTGGACACAAATTAGAGATTTTAAGTCTGCTCACCATTTAAATACAAGGAACAGCTATGTGTTAGGAATATTTCCAGAGTTGGAGACGAATAAGAGCAACATGAACACTAGTACACATCCCCCATTTGCTGTGCACCCGCCATATTTGTTGTTGTTGAAGCGGTTACATTCGGCCAAAGGCCATGAGGCCTGAAACTGGTACGAAACTCAAGAAACTTCTTAATGGTAAACACATTTCCATTCAGAACGTCCCAACCGGGAAAAAGGGACACCTTTTCAGAATTTCCGTTAGTCCGGGAATTTTCCATTGGGACGAACCGAAAAACGTTTACCAGTTACATCCCAACCGCAATTTCTAGGAATTTGAGGTAAATGGTAAACAATCCGTATTACAGCTTCTTAGAGACTCAAATTTTGAACTGTCTGCGATCAAATGTGGAAGTGAGGTCTTCCTTAGCCTTAATGTAAGTAACTCTTTTTTTATAATCTGAAAGAAAAAATTACCATATATATGCCTCTTTTCAGAAAGTTTACATAACCTCTCGACGCAAACCAAACAACAAGCGTCCGATTATTCGTTTTACCAAACCGGAAGTATGAGAGAGTACGAGATTCAAATACTCTGGGAGTAGGGGTGGTTAAATATCGATCGACCATGGTCTGGATTTTGCTTGAGAAGGACCTGGACTAAGACCGGGCGTTCGAAGTCTCTGGTTCTACCATAAAAACATTTTGTAGACTTCTAGCGAAGAAAGAATTTCTACTCTTTCTAGTTGATTGGAAATAGTTCTCTCATTAACATGCGTGCATGGGAAAATGGTATTTAGCATACTCAGGCAACATAGCTATTAGAGTGAAATATTAATGATCTGAACAAGTAACCAATACTTCTACGTTAGACCGTGGATAGATCTTGGTAGGTGACAATAATTTTTGAAAAAAAATACGGGAAACCCTCGAACCAAACAGGGAAAATCACAAGAATATTACAGAGCCTTAGTAGGATCAGGTAAATTTTATCACAACACGTGTATAACCAAAGCAACCAAAGTCCTTCAATTCCCCCCACCCCCCTCCTGCGCTACATAATGACCGATCACTTAGGTAACCCTCGTGGTGTCGATTTTTGATCGTTTGTTTGTTTGTTTGTTTGTTTGTTTGTTTTTTTCAGGCTGCTTGAAAGAAGTGATACAATAGCCCCAAGAGTCCAAAGAAAAAGGAGAACCAGGTCAGGGAAGAGTTAAATCTAATTCTACCAATTTTGAAACCGCAGCCTCTGTCTTTAGCGTAAGCCAAAAACAGAAATATGTTGCGACGATCTTTGAACGGGTGTCCTTCATTCCAGTCATCAGATGTGGTGCAGTTAATTCTATCGTAGATTCCTTTGAAAACAAGAAAAAAAGAGTCTATAAGTTCTGTGATCAAAATCCACCTGCCAAGGAGACAAAAAATGTTTAACTCGAGGTGGCAATCACGGAATGACAGCTTTTTCAGCACGCTCCATCGCTGAGAACTCATCCATTAATCCCAAACAGTGCAGAAAGTTGAAAGCGTAACAAAACAAAATGGCGCACAGGTGTGGAGAAAGTAACAACGTTTTAAGTCAGAGTTTGAGAGAGAGGGAATGCTAAAAGAAAAACACCCAAGAAAGGAAAAACAACTGGGTAAAAGTCTGGCTTACAATAACTGATATGAAAATATTAAGCGACAGGCAATTAAATCGCTCACGTGTCTCTACTCATGTGAACAGTGACTGCTTACGACTCTATTGAACTTTCTCCAGTTCCTACCTGCGTATTCGCTTGTGATCCTAGCAGCGTAAATACACGGGAGTATGAAAACGTAGAAGAAACAAACGAAGAGTAGGCAGATGTAGACTTTGACCGCAGTGGACACACTATTTTTGTCTCCCGAGAGTTCCTCAGATGTTAACATAAAGTAAACAAGAATGCCAGCTCCGTATGTTAACCAATGCAACACAAACCATACTTTGTAGGCTGACACTGTGTTTAGGACAATTGTACACAAGTCCTCATGAATTTTAATGATGTCATCGAGAGTTCCACTCTCGACCTTCCGGATGAGTCTGAAAGTGTCTTTTGCTATTGTGCCTGAGGTAAAAAGAGAAAAAAAAGGTTTAGTAGATGTTGGTTTACGTTATTCTTTATGTCTGCAAGGAACAGTTTTTTAAGGAAGTTTAAGAAATATTAAGGTCTTTAAACGAACCAGAATCGCTAAAACTGTGTTCGATGTCTTTGCTATCTTGATGGCTCTATCTTATTTCTAGGGGTGAAAAACGCGTAAGGAAGTAATTCGATAAGTTTTGGCAAAACGCGAAGTCTTCAATCAAGGAAATATGCATCATCATTCTTACCTAGAGAGGAAGAACTGACGGCAAAGGCGTGACAGGTGTTTACTGAAGCCCAGTGAGCCAACACAGTGGTTAAGGTGTATCCAATGAACAATTTGCTTAGATAAGTATTGTTATTGTTATATAACTTCAAATAAAGAAGTGTCAGCCCGATAAAAAGCGAGGAAAGAAATCCAACGAATCCAATAAACAGCCACAGTATCGCCGTTTTGTCACAATCTTCGATCATTGATCGTGAAGGTGACACCAAAGCAGACTCTGTACCCCTGAATGTCGTCACACTTGTTATGAAAACGACATATGAAAGGAGCGCTGCAAAAGAAAACAGTGAATAGCACGCCCTTTGAGTTCCTGGAAAGACCGTCAGTACTGTGAGGTTGGAATGCTTTTCATTGAAGTTGCAGTCGAAGTAGGGACAGTTCAGGTCAAAAGAGATTTGCAAGGATACTTGAACAGCACAAATTACAACAAATAGAAGACGAGGGATGTAGTTCCACGACCGATGGCTCCACAAACCAAGCGAACAGAAGATAGCTTTGAAAATCATCAGAATGATTCGAGTGGATGTACTAACCAGCTGTGGCTCTCTTCCCCACCGAAAATACAGATACGTTCGCCCTCGTCGAACAGCCGGCCTCATTGTTTCAATATTTTGATCATCAGGAACCCTTAGCACGAGATGCTCTTGCTCCGCCATTATTGATCGCAAGCTATTGATTACATCGACTACTAGCACAGACTGCGTGAATTATATCCGAAAGTTATCCTGATCGTGACTTTCAGGCTAGATTTTGTCACCTGATAATTGTATTAAGCTGGTGCCACCGATCTATGATGTGATTGTAGTTTCCATTACCTCTGATCCTCTTTCGAGGTAACGCAAATTTTCTCGCAGAATTAATGGTCACGCTTTTGAAGTAACGCTGGCATTGCCGAACCTGAAAGATCTTTTTCGCACATTGCAGGATAAGAAACTTCAGTGACTCTTGAACCTAAATAATTAAATAGGTCTGAAAGAAAGCTAGTATCACGTGGTAAAAGGTTCAACTGAATTTCTCGTTGAGGATTTTCGGACAGTTGTTTTTCTTTTTGTATCAAATAACAGCATTGCGTTACTTGAGTGCATTTTGAATCTAATTATCACATCTCTTGAAGTTTCTCGGAAAAACCTTTCTTCCGGTGCGTTAGAGTGTAGCTAGAAACCGAAAGGAAAGGAAGTAAACAAGATTTATTTTGATCAATTAAAGTTCTTTCAAAGTATTTTTTTAACTTCTTATTCTTCATTTTTCTTGTTGTTTTAAAATGGTCAACAACCCGATCGATGCCGAAAGAGAACCACAAGATCAGGAAGGGAAACGTCTGCCTCTTCTTCCATGAATGAACATATTTGGGCTTCCGGTCACATAGACATCCGCAAGATGTCAATGGATGCTATCGATTTCTGTTGAAAATTGTCAAAATCACCTTCTGTACACTTGGATTATGGACTCACCAGGTTTTGAACTACATTCTACGAGTACTAGTCTATCTAATCTGTCATTTTATCAAGCTGTTTACGATTTCTATGTCGTGTTAAGTTGCCACGGTTTTGGTTGCAGTTCCTCACAAAATTCAACGGATTTAAGAAGCCCTTTCATCACAAGGATGATAATCGTATTGCAAATGTTGTTTATTTTTATAGTTTCATGCGCAGTTTCATCGTAACAAAGGACAAAAACTCAGTTATGGTCGCACCGTCTTGATCCGCATCGATGGAAGACCTTAACACAACGGCCGGCTGATGGTTGTGTCTTATTTTCGCTTTAATGACAATGTTGTATCTTAGCTCGATGGCTGTGTTTCACACCATCGTATGGATAAGTAAGCCAAAGGTTTCCTATTTCACCACTCTTGCCACCGGAGTAGAAGCCCAGTTTTTCGCGCAGTGCACAGCAATAACAACTTGTCACGAGTTCGTCATGAGTTCCTTTGCGTTAGGTAAGTTGCATACTTCAAATGCTGATAACAAAATGATCATTGTGTTTTCATTTATCCTTTGTTCTCAGCGTTCAAAACCCTTTTTTGATGATTTAGGTGATTAACCTTTCCTGTTGTCTTCCATCCTTTCTCTGCGAATTATCTTTGTTACCAAAGTCATTATGGCCGTAGTTATGACCATCACAAGTTTTATAAGCATTGACAATACCGAGACAATCAGAAGCACTGATGTAACGAAAGGGCAATATAACAGGATTTATAACAATTTTTTTGACATTTTCAATGCACTAGAGTTTTGCTAAAATGTATGATCGATAGCAAGATCGGTGTGATCTTGTTTGAGTGGTGCACTTCTTCAAGCCATTGGATCATCTTTAAGTATCTACAAGGCATACATTTCACAGACATTCTTAGAATAATCTGGAATCTGAAGACAACTCATTTGGGACAGGCAATCTCTAAACAAATTTGGCAAATCCTAAAATTGGCAACGTCTTGTTTAAATACCTGACGAACAATGCAAAAAAATAGCGTGTAATCAATCTCATTATTTCTCTACTTAACCTTCATCTTTTTCTGTCAGTAAGGATGTCTGTTTTTTTCTGTTTTGTTTCATTCTGCCTTTTTCATTGTTATAAAATATCATTTTAAAAATTATATTATATTATTATAATTATCATTATTATTATTACGGATTTTCTGGTATGAACGTATTTTTGTTACATTTTTCACTTTAGATACTTTACATAAGTATTATCTTAGACCGAGTTGCACTCAGTCTTGTAGCATAGAAAGTGTTTTCATGAGCACTGAAGAAAACTTTCTTCACTGCACTATGAGGGCAAGGAAGAAACTGCTTTAACTTTTAAAATGTGTAAATCATTCTTTCAAAGACCATAAAATGGAATGGGTATGTAAATTAATTCAAATGGTTCATCATTTCCGACTATTTTTGTGCAAAATTATCCCTGAAATTTCCTGGACTTCAATATTTTCTTTCCTAGAGTGATCCTGATTTTTTTTAGTCTATAATCATTTATTTATGATCCTTAGAACATCTCTATTATGTGTCCTGCTTACAAAGGCTTCATGTTCAAGTTTTGGACACAGCTCTTATGGAAACGGGTGATGAGTCAGAGACAGACATTCCATTTGACAACATTATTGTCTTGTAAGTTCTCTTCAATTACAATCCCTCCTCTTTGATTCTGACTAGCAGATTTTACCACAGTTTTCAGATATTTATCCTCAACCTGTCTTCAAAATTAGGCTGTCTGACTACTTGCCAGAGTTTGAACAAATGAATTGTTTGTCACAGTTAATAGATTAAGACTCAGCATACTGAGTGGGCCATGACTCACATGTACATTGCACTCAACTTGTCAACTTTTACCTCTTCACTTACTCAAACCAAAGTCTCACAATTTAGGAAGACAAGAATCTTTGTATTCTCATGGAGGAATATTTTCATTACATGCATTCACTTGATGCATTGCAATATCTCTATTTTACTTCTTAAAGTTGAATGTTGTACAGTAAAATTTGATCACCCTCCACTTTATTTAGTGTTTAATTCACCTTTTTTAAGTGGTGGTCTACCTGTTCCTTGAGTTATGTGTAATGATGGTATCAGATTCAAACCAGAGTCTGATTTATAAATTTTTTATCTAATCTTAGTGAAAATGTGAGCTATGACCTCAAGCTGGGTATAGAAATAAGCAAACAGAGCTTCAGGAGTGAAAAGGCCACTACGAGGAACTCAAGCGGGCCACGAAGTTCTCAAATTTATACTTGCGGAACATACACAATTGACAGTGGATCACCTTCATCAGAGGAT